AAAGAAAGAAAGAGAGAGAGAGAGAGAGAGAGAGAGAGAGAGAGAGAGAGAGAGAGAGAGAGAGAGAGAGAGAGAGAGAGAGACATAGAAAAGGATTATTAAGGCGGCAAGAGATGCACCTTTGCGTAAGGGGACACGGTGCAGTCCGCAGACGACCCAGGTGCCTCTATTGATTTCCTGTAGAGGGGTTCCGTTTGTTGTGCACAATTAAAAAACACTCTGTAAGTTACAAATGGCAGCAATGTCACTGGTCTTCCAAATCCAATAATGGTCCCTCCTCCCAAAAGAACTGAACCCTGATCTGATACGGGGGGGGGGGGGGGGGGGAAGAACAGACATCCCAATCCCATCCAATCGGAGAAAAAGGCACATACTGTGAGTCGTGCCTTTAGAAACAAAGGCACAAAACAAACAAACGAAAGAACGAGAAAGCAGATGCACCAAATAGCATGTCTCCTTGCGGACCTATTTGACCAACTGCAGATGTTTACGAACATGGACAAGATGAGAGAAGAGTCCTCCCACCCCTCTCATCAACAGAAAGCTATGGGAGAGGGTGGCAGAAGAGTCCTCCCACCCCTCTCTCCCACCATGTCATGAGATGGTCTGGGATGGCATCAAACCACATGAGTATACGCCGCCCACGAGTTGCGAGGGAGGAGAGGAGGTAGAGGGTGGGCACATGAAATTTCAACTCCGCTACGAAAACAATGCACTCGTTGCTTCACATATGAAAATTCAGCATGCACGTGCTTGTCCTTCACGTCAAAGATCTTCATTTTATTCTTATCCCCGAATTCACGTGGCCTACACACGGCAACCCACCAACCCGCTGATGGTTTACCACAAGGAAAACGATGGTGACTTCAGTAATATCAGTGTGTTATTAGATATATAAGTTAATATAACCATGATGGACAGAATGCCGAGCAAAAAAAAAAAAAACATGGCATAACCAGCAGATCACATTGTAAAAGTAACAGCAAGCGCAGGCGAAGTGTGGCGCAGAGCTATTCTGTGGACAAGGGACAAGAGACAGGAAAGACCTCGACCTGCGCCCGAAGGGACATCCGATGCCTCGATGCGAATGCTGTGCCGTTCTTTAGCTTTCCTCGCTGAAAAGATGCACAGGGATGCTTGCGGAGAGAGGAGCATACTAAACTTCAAAAAGCAGCACACGGCGAAAACTGAGCTTGTCCCCACCCGCAAATTCCGGGGATCTGGAAGGCCCGCCAGTGCAACGGGGCCAATCTTTATCTGCTGAAATACAGGACGCCTCAAAAAAACAAGGATTTGCTAGAAAAAAAAAGAGATGATCTTCATAAACTAGCTGAATCAAACCGTAGCTTTTCTCATTATCGTTGGTGGTAAGAATGTAAATATAGAAATCACCACCAACCAAGCCCGAGGACATATAGAAACTACCTTCCCTCTTTTCTCTGCAGTTGCCTGTTGTGTCTGGCATGAGAAAAGGGCCAGATAGGTGGGCAGGCTTGCTAGAGAGTTTTGCTGGAAGTGGTGAACGAGTGAAAACAACCGCCTGCTGTTCATTCCATCTGCTGCTGGCAGCAGGTCCAGCGCTCAATCCGAGAGAGGCCGGTACCGGTACCATCCTCAATTTTCCGAGTGGTGTGCACCGGTCACTTTCAGGCCCCGGAAAACGCAAACTTCAGCCTCGGGAGTGCTGGCGGTTTGAGAAAATGAAAGTGGACAGACACCCAACAAAAAACGAACAGTAAGATCAAACAGAGAAGAAACGGCAGAACTGACTGACGAGTACCCAAAAGAAACAAACATGAAGAACCTTTTGTTCTCTCCCACCCAGCTCTTGTGGCTGCATGGGACACACACATTAAACCAAAGATAACCGTAAAGATGAAATGACGAAGAAACGGCAGAACCGACTGAAGAATACCGCAAAGAAACAAGGAGTAAGAAACTTTGTTCTCGCACCCAGTCCGTGTGGCTGGCTGAATAGGACACAGTGACACACACATATAACTACTGATAGAGTTCTTAGTTAAATAAACAGATAGCGATTACAAATCCGAAATCAGAGGAAAATCAAAAATGTTAGCAGCTTCCTGTACCCGCTTTTGAAAAAGAAAAGGACCTTCCCTCTTCTCGTGCTCAGGGGACCTTCACAGGACACAGCCACAGTCTCTCCCCAAATTAAGGCTACCGTCTTCCCTTGAATAGAACGTACGGTCATTACCGCTGAGGCTGCTAACATTTTTGTTTTTCCTCTGATTCATCAGGAGAAATTTACACAAGCGGACGGTCGTTACCGCCACGGCCATAATGAGCATACGTTCTATACCGAGAAACATCAGGAGAAATTTACACAAGTGGACGTGGACGAAGCGACAGGAAGGACGTTTTCTCTTCTCAGGTCTAGCTACACGCTTCCTCAACGTTCGCACTACAAGCACCACGGAACGGATTCTTCGTGCGAGAACTCAACAGCCGGGTTCATCATACTACCGACCACCTACCTTGTCATTGTGGGAAGCTAAGTTTCGTCAAGGATTGCAACGACGTCCACATCTCCCATACGCCACATTATAAAAATTGACTGGCTTTACATCATCACCTTCACAAACATCTTTTTCTTCGGTTCCTCACAAACATTGGACGACCTTCGAGGAATTCATCTAAACAGCAGCAAGTGTGGATGGGCATGAAGGCAATCACAGGACTTCTGTGATTCTCTACGGCACGAAGTAATGGGTCAAGGACTTCACGTTGGGTACCTGGATGGCGGCAATACAGCCGCCTGAGAGGAATGCTGAGATCCGCCACCACCCTGGCCTTGATCATAGACCGGAACCTGAAGGAAACAGTGTCAGCCATCATCAAAGAAGCAGCAGCCACAGCAGGAACAGCGCCCACGATGACAAGATATAAGAAAATGCCCGATAAGTTGCGATAACCATACCAACTGCACACTGCACAGGCACGGGAGAAAAAAGAAATAGAGCTCGGCAACTACTCCCCAGTATGAGATGACAGGCAAACAGCGCTGGCAAAAAGAATTCGAACGAAATATACAGGAAGGATTCAATGCATTGCCACATATCAGGCAGGAATGGATGGGTTGAAGTTGCAATTGCTTTCGTCAGACAGCAAAGAAATTTCCCAGATGCAATACAAGGCTGGAAATAATGAACAGAGAAACCTGCCAAAGTTCTGATAATGCGCTTACAGCATATATATCATAGACAACCAACGATCTCATCAGTGCACGCCTTGAAATAATCAAACTACCCAACCGACTAATGCCCTAAAGAGTAGCAAAGGCAAAAAGGGGGATGCTATTTTAAGCTATTTCCAGCTTGAACAAGTACTTTTGACGTAAGGGACGCTGGACCCAGTCTCCCGCTTTCTTTAATAAAAAAATTATATTAAAAAAGAAAAAAGAAAAACGATGAGGACCTGGATGGCTCACTAGATTACGCGACACTCTCCCCCAACAAGACATCCGTTTTTATTACTTTTTAAATGAACTAACAAGCTGGGTCTACCAACCGGGCTGCCCGGGTTGCCTTGATTGACCAGGCAGCGCAGCCTTGCAAGGACCAGGTTAGGGCCCAGCCAAAAAAAAAAAAAAAAAACAAAAAAAAAAACACTGGGAAAAAAAAACTATGTGATGTGCAAAAAAAAAACTGAACAACTTCTGCCTCAGGGTGACTTCGAATTCTTTACCCAATAAAAAATAAAAAATAAAATAAAAATAAGTATAATCTTAAAATTTAAATATTTTTAACTTTATTTTTGGCCCGGCCGGGCAAGCTCCCCCCCCCCCCCCCCCCCCCCGGCCACTCTGGTCGCCTAGCTAAAAACTTAGTAAAAAGAGAAAACAAAAACTTGGAGATACACGAGCAGTTCAACAACCATCCGGCCTTGCTCAGTCAGCAAAACCATGAACTGTTGAAATATAGACCTGAGTTCGAATCCACATGAGAACAGGTTAGCAACTTAGCAAAAACAACTTGGAAATTACCTGCAGCCGGTGGGTGCAACAATGATATCTCAAGCCCGTTGCCCTTCCTTTGTAAAAAGAAAAGGAAAAGGTTGAGGACGGAGAAAAATAAAAAGACGGGACTCGCTGTTCAGCAGGGCCTGCCAGAAAAGGGAGAGCAGTGATTGAACATCTCATCCTTCCAAGTGCGCGCCTCAGAAGTGGCCCCCTTCTCCACCAAGTGATTGCAGAGGATCATCCAATGCAGCCACCTGCCTAACAGATTCTCACCCCCGTCGCAGACATCAAAAATACTGACGGTATGACCCTCTCTTTGCAAGCATGTAAACAATCTCCCTTGACATCCTCTCTCTTCCCGCAATGCACTGAGTAACCCTGCGCTACAGCATGCCCTGCCCAACCCACTTCGCGAAGCATCTTGTAATCCCCCGCCTCCCCACTTCCCCTCCTCCCACCCAATGCATGCGAGCGAGCACATCACGCAACCCGCCCCTTCAACAGCCTCCTTCCCTTTTCCCATGTGTGTGAAGCGCCTTGTGAGCTTCGTTGACACTCTCCCCCCTCTGGTCGATGCATGCAAAGAACACTACAGCCAACCTTGCCGCTCCTCTTAATGCATCCAACGCACTGTTTGATCCCTTCTGAGCCGTCTCCATCCATCCTGACACAGATGCAAAGCATCTTGCAATACCCCCTGGACATTGCCCCATATGAACTTCCCGGACTATATTGCAAGGACCATGCTACCCCGCTGCGTCCCCTTCTCTCGATGCATGCAAAGAACACTACAACCTTGTCGCTCCGCTTAATGCATGCAACGCACTGTTTGATCCCCGTCTCCATCCATCATGACACACAATCAAAGCATCTTGCAACACCCCTCAACATTGCCCGATAAAAACTTCCTGGAATATATTGCATGGACCTCATTGCAACCCCTTTCAAAGGCATCCTGCAACACCCCTTGACACTCCACATCATCGTGCAATCCCTTGATGAACTCCCTCCCTCTCGCCTCCCTTCCAAAGCACTCTTGCAACCTCCTCCAACATTGCCCTCGACACTCCCCATCCTTGTTCCATCTGTGCAAAAGGTCATGTCCCCCTCCTCAGCCGTCCTGCAACGGTCGAATCGAACTGAAGTATTCTCAAGTATTAAAAATCTAAAACCTTGATGATACAATAATTTTCCATAAAGGACCATGATAATAAATTGAGTACTGCAGTAAAATGTACAATTATTCAGCCGTAACAAGTGCTCTCCGAACCGTGCGAGATGGTCACCCATCACACGGCTCTCCAACCTGAGTGACCTTTGTGGCGTGCTTGACACTGTGGAATTTGCTTACACTGTGCCGCCTTAAAGAAGATGACGCACCATCGTCTCGCACCTTGCTCTTAAGATAAGAAAGGCCACCTTATCTATCAGTAGGCCGCCTCATCTACCGTTAGGCCACCTCATCTATCAGTAGCGGTAATGCTTGGAAGGACGCTGGTTCCCTTCCCCCCCCCCACCCTCCCGTCGCTTCCGAAGTACATATTATGCGGCCTCCTTCATCCAAATCAGTGCAACTCACTGCGAACCCTCTCCCTCTCGTCCACCACAACTTGCTCAAAACGTACTCACTCTCCCTCATCACTCCATTGTGCCAACAAGTGCAAAACATCATCTGTCAGTGATCTCCCTTCCTAACCCCATTGTTGCAGATGAAGCATTTTACAACCCCTCTCAACTCCATCTATTTCCCCTGCCTAGGATGCTCTGAAATCCGCTGTAGCAGATCGCATCAGGGCACAAGGAGCCACAGACAGGCACACGGCCACAGGTAGCTGAAAACGTTTGCACTCTGGCCAACACACGGCACAATCAAAACACCTTCGTAGCCACTCACTTTGCTGCATCGAGAGGCCCGATTTCAAGCTGCTGATCACTTGAAAAACTTACGTGCACTGCCCAACAGCTCAACGGCCATGATCAAACCCTCCCTATAATGAACAAAGTTAGCATCGTTTTTGTTTCTTTGTTTGTTTTTTGAGCCATTCCTTGATTTATGTGCGCCATCCTTCCTTTCAGGGGCCATGCTAATCTTCTTTCTCCGCATCGTTCCAATTTCAACGGATGGCCCCAAGGACACAAAGTCAGCAATCGTTTTTCCCCCTGCATGCCATCGACGGTGTAATCTTCATTTTGGACGGTCAGGTAAATATCAAAAAGCATGCTTTCTAACACATAAGAACTCCGAGAACAACTCGCTACGAATCAAGGCTGTAACCTGACACCAGAGAGGCGGGTCCATTAACAAATAGGTGAAGTGAACTGGGGTGAAAACTGAAGCCCATTCTGTTTCAAACTCGGGTACAAATCAAATTGCATGCTTGCTAACACACACAAGAAGTCCAAGAACAACTCACTGCGGATCAAGGCTGAAAAGTGAAGCCCCTTCGTTTGAGCTGTTGTGAGGCCCAGAGACTCCAGGTGTTCAGGAGAGCGTGGTGCCACCCTCCCGCAACACATGTAATGTGCAACGCGGTACAAAGGCCTGTTTACCGGCCATTATGTGTGCCCCGGGAGAGGGGTAGCGTGGTCGCCTGAGATAGCCGCCCCAGCTCCCCCTGCAGAGCATCTCAGGCGGCAGGGGTTTGGCCTGTTTCCGTACTCTTCTCTGAACAATTCGGATTCCCGCAGCACGCATAATGTGCGACGAGCCTGACGAGGTATCTCCGCCGAATTGCTTGACACGAAGTGGTGGCCAAAAATGCTTCAAAATGTATCCTATTTAGAATCTCAAAAGAATCTAGTCTTATTATACGGTCAATATCAGTATACTTTGGTAAATCACATGGATACAAAAAAAACGTACTACTTTAGAAAAAGTCTCTATATCTCAGCAATTTTTTGTTTATATGTTGTACCCAACTCACTCTTTATGTGGTTGTTTGAATCAATTAACTTAGATTCATTGACTTCAATAGGCCTGTTTCTTGGGCATTATGCGTGCCCCAGGAGAAGGGTAGTGTGGTCGCTCGAGATCGCCGCCCCAGCCCCCCCCTGCAAAGCGTCTTGGGCGGCGGGGGTTTGGGCTGTTTACCTACTCTTCTCTGCACAATTTGGATTTTCATTTGCTTGCCGGCGTCGCCCCCCAGAACAGAAAGGGCTATATCTGAGCTTTAAAAAAAAAAGCATGAGAAAAAGAAAAAAAAAGGAAAGAAAATAGAAGCCCCTAGCGGGACACTTTACAACCCAGGTTTGCAGCCACGCACCACCGACAAGAAACAAAAACAAAGTTAACAAACAGAGACTTCCACCAAAGATCCAAACCGGAAGTCAAACAGCTTCTACCACATTGCTAAAACCGCTGCTTAGCCCAAGCAGTGAAGTTTGTTGCGTCTTACCCCAGCAGCGACTGTCTGGTAGACACCACCAACGCTCCCGGGCAAAGGCCTACTACTCAGGCCTGGGTCCCTGAAACCGCTGCCTGGCTGTGCTTGAGGTTGAGCAAACCTCTCTGTCATTGCTCTTCCATCTGGTAGTGAATGACCACTCTGATTATTATAGGAACTGGCAACGTTCCGAATGTGTTGATGCTGGGGTACAGCAGCGGGGGAGTGATTCGGAGATGTTACCCTCGTCCGCCAATCACAGGCTTGGTATGGGGAAGGGCCTGCATAAACAGCACCATTCATCTCTGCACTGCCGCATTCCCGCAAACGAACTGCGTCCCCATCACAACGTCCGCTGACAACGATCTTTCCATTTCCATTCTTTTTCACCGTTCCTGCGGCATCACTCATGCCAGCATGAGGGAACATATGCGGCCCGGGGGGAGCCTGGCCACCACCAGGGGCCCTTCCACCGCTGTCTTGTCGAACCATAGCAGTTGCCTCTCGTGGATATCCAGGCGTAGCGCATGGCATCGGAGCGGTTGCATGCCTGTTCAGATCCGCATTGCAGGCGACACGTACAGAAGGAGAGTCGCCCACAGCATTTCGCATGCTAGCCGCATCTGGCATAGGTACACATATCGGGTCAGGGATATATTGTGCCCTCGAATTCACCTCTTCAGCTGCTCTCTTCTCACTGGAACACAATCAGCACAAAGGACAGCAGGCCAGTCACTAGTCAGCACATTGCAATTTACTGTACATTACATACAGCAGGGCAGTTCCATCCATCGTCAGTCAGTGTGTGCACTTGAAACTGCGGAACCCAACACCCAAAGAGGCACAATAAACTGCAAGGAACCCAACTGTTCATCACTTGCTCGAGTGCATCAGATCACATGCATACACATAGATTCCACAGATTGCGATGTCTCACACAAAGCTCAATAGCAGATGAATGAGAGCCAGGAAGCTCAACTCAATTATCATAACAGATTAAGAGAGGAAAACGTGAGTCCAAAATGTATAGCGTCGAACAGAGTTGCAAGACTTCTTCAATCAACATGAGTTCCGGGCGTGGCGCTCACCCGCACCAGCTGCCAAGCGTCAACAACACCGCTCATCAGGTAAGTGTCCACATAGTTTATTCCTCCCCCTCTCTTATCTGCTTTCTTCTCTCTCTCTCGCTCATCAGGTAAGTGTCCACATAGTTTATTCCTCCCCCTCTCTTATCTGCTTTCTTCTCTCTCTCCCTCTATGCCTTTAGTCCTGGTCTACCCTCACTCATCATACATGCGCACTCCCTAACACACGAGTATCTACTCTGAATACTACTCACTGGTCTCTTCTACTAGCTATCCCTACTAATGTACTGACTGGCGCTGGCGCAGCTATGGCTGCCTTCCTTCCAGCCAGCGCCCTTCTTCTCTCTCTCTCACATTTAGCGCTGCTCACAGCTTAGCGCAGCTCACACACGTCTAGTGCACAAGTGCCATGGCACTTCCACACTTCCATGCGAATGACCATCTGCCGAATGAGGAGGCTGGCCAGTCCTTTATAGTGCTGGACTGGTCTGGCGTGGCCTGCATTCAGCCTCAAGTGTTCTGGGACTCCTGACCAGTACCTTTTGCTGCAAAGTGTGTGTCCCAGTATCCTTTTCCCATGGTCTGCTGCTGCTTTGGGCTTTCAGGCCTGTCTTTTGGACTGCTGGTATGAATCAGGATTGACCCGTGAAGCTGTGACTGGACTGCGACCGTGGCCTTTGACTTATGGCCGAACAGACATGACTTACCGTCGAACAGACATGACCCTAACTCAGTCTTGAAATCTGTGTCCTAAACCTGTTCGTCCAGGACCTGCTCGTGACTGTTCAAAACGACTTTTCAGTTCATTATTATGGGGATGCGATATTTGTCTTTTGGAAAGTTGCTTGTGAAATTGAGTTCAGGTCGAGAGGGCCCTTTTCATGCATGGGTCACTTTTACGGGCCTGAATCATAAAGGCCATTTTAAAACCACATCCACCAAAATAAACACAACACCCTGTCAGAGACCATCATCACCAGAATGGGGTTCTGAACATACCCTGCACAGCAACCTAAATAGTTAGTTTCCTTCAGTCTCAGGGCATACTCGTGCTAGGACTTTTATATTTGTTTCGGGATGTAATTGTGGTCAGATGCATCCAGATCCACCCATAAATGCGATGAGATACATCTAAGATAAATTGCGGTCAGATGCATCCAGATCCGGCCAAAAATGTGATGAGATGCATCTAAATAGCGCTAGTGTGAGTGCGCCCTCAGTCTCTCTCCCACTGCAATGTGCAACTTCAGGATTATTGTTTCTTTTCATTTTTTCGGGTGGCAGGTGGAGGCGGGGGACTGAGTGCAGCAGGAAAACGGAATTCTGTTTGCAAATGGTTGTAGATGTGCACCACAGAGAATCAATCGGCAGGTGGAGGCGTGGGGCTGAGGGCAGCAGGAAGAGGGAATTCTGCTTGCCAAACTGTTGTATAGGTGTAAACCACCGAGCATAAAGAACTTCGGACTTCCCAAATCAAAAACTTGTGGTATCAGAGAACTGAAGTCGCACGTTCCAGGGCGAAGTCCAGAGAACTGAAGTCGCACATTCCAGGGCGAAGTCCAGAAAAAAACTAACCATGCACGCTTCCGTGCCTCTGCGAGCAATGCCTTCTTCTTCATTTCACATTCGCTGACACCTCCTGGCAGCAACTCAATCAATTTCTTAAGCCTTCCCTGCAGAACACTATTTGAAGGCCATCTCCATGCTTCATCATACTGAGACAGTGGAAGACAAAAGCACCAGGAGCAGGGATGAAGGACGAGTAAGTAAACATAAACCGCGATGATGCAATTGCTTTTCTTTTTGTTTTGTTCCCGACCAGAATCTGACTGAAACTCGTACTAGCATTAGTCTTTCAGCAGCTCACTGAATTTCAAAGCGGGCAACTACAATCTTGTTGCTCTGGCAAAACGCTTGGAGACTTTCCTCTCATCACTTAGTCATCAGAGTTAAAATGTCTCTCTGCAGTCTAGAACACTGGTCATTCTTGCAGGATGACTCGTTGCGAATTAGTCCGCATTAGCCGCAATGGCTCAAAACAAAGTCAAAAAAGTTGAAAAAAGTTTTAGTTTATAGTTCTATTGGTCATGTAGGTTACCTTTTGACTGGTTTTTCATGTCGAACTATCGAAGGTATACAGTCTTTACTAATAGGTGTTTTCATTTCTGTAACAATTACCATCAATGTATTTGGAATAGTTATAGGCTCTTAGCTTTACGCCAAAATCGTCACAAAAACAGAAGAGAAGCTGCAACAACGCCAAACACGTGTCTACTTTCAGGTGAATACCTTGTGAGGGGAGACGAAATCTGTCAATAAAGACAACTCTTATGGACATTGCTTATTCAAAATGGCCAGGAAATCTAGGAAGACTCTCACGCCCGGCGGGTCCTGCCCGGCCGGGCACCCGGGCGTGACGGCCGGGGGGGTCTGACGCCCGGGAAACCAAGCCAAGCAAAAAATAAAATAAAATAAAAAAATATGGATTTCTGCGTTCACCCAGAGGACCCCAAATCCGGCTCATTTGGCTGTCAAGCGGGGGGGAGGCGGGTATAAATTGGTTGTAAAGGGGCTAAACTTGCCGCTAAAGCATAGTTGCAGCGCACCCCGGTGCGTCGGTTTGCGCATGCGTTGCGCACCGCATGGAGCCCCCCACACCAAAAAAGAGGGGTGGTGGAAACTTTTCCTTTCGTAGTGTTTTCCTTCAGATGGCGGCCCCCACCCCGGCAAAATTGACGATTGGGGTGCGTGACTCAGGAAACCGGCTGCGGCCCGCCTCGGAATTTTTTTTGGGGGGAAGGGCCTGCCGAATTCAAAAATTTGAATTTGGCAGGCCCTTCCCCAAAAAAACTTTTTGGGGAAGGGGGACCGCCGTTTTCCGGAGCCGCCCGCCGGCAGCGGGAGACCGCCGGGCAGCCACGAACGTGGGCACCCACCTCTCTCTCTCTCTCTCTCTCTCTCTCTCTCTCTCTCTCTCTCTCTCTCTCTCTCTCTCTCTCTCTCTCTCTC